ACAGTATTTCAGATCAATAAATAATGAATTAAATAATGTTTATTCCAAATGTTTCATAAGAGAGCGAAAATTCATAAATATTTGTCTTTTCCCACGAAATATAAAAACTATTTCAAAATATGTTCGAAGACATTTCCATNTTTTCAACTGTATATCAGGGTTATTTACTGGTTTTTTCTTACATGACTAAAATTTTTGTTTCTCACAATTGTGGGCTTTCCATTTATATATTTGATGGTACTATTGTTATCACCTGCTGCAATCTGTCTGTTCTGTTTAAAATCTGTTTTTGCCGTTAATCAGCTGTACGAACGACAACTCTCAGAAGTTGAGAAACTTGTGCGAGCTAAGAACTAACGAGGTCTTACCTTTCAACGTGTAATTCCTAATACGGTCATTTCATCCAATTTAGATTTCACTTTTAGGAAATAGTCCCTTTGTTTTGGAGTTTGGTCATTAGATATTTTCACACTGGGTATTTTTATTAATTGTTTATTCTTCAATATATGCCTGGCATCATCTTGTGATTTGAAAATAACCTTGATGGGTCGATTTCTGTTAATTATTGGTTTTCCCAATCTGAAATGTTTTATTTCTTCCTTATTGACGTTGAAGTCCTTCAGTTTCTCTTTCTTGTGCTGATCTTTCAGTGTGGAGGTTTCCCTGAGGTTCATTCACATTATAAATGATAATATTGCCCGCTCGTGATTGTCTGTCTATAATTTCTGATATTAGATCTTCACTTCCAAGCAAATTAGATTCCATGTCGGAATGGGAGTTAGATACCCTCATGTCATCAACTTTTTTTCGCAATTTTTCATTTTCCTCTTGAAATATTCTATTTATCTCCATAATATCACTCAGCTGTTTTATGAGTTTAGGCATTTGCTTGATATTATTCCTACATTGATCACAGAAATACGTAATGCATCAACCTGATTTAAGGAAAATAGCTCTAAGTTCGGTACTTGTAAGTTCAGTACATGTTGAATGTACTACATCATTGCAGCAGTCACATACGACAATGTCTTCCCCTTCTAAATCCTTTTCACACTTATTAACATTAACATTAATTTTATTCATCGTGAAATCCACATAATTAAAATTACATAAATTTATCAGGCTAGTCAAATAGTTTAAAATACAAAGGGTGCACTTTAAGATAATTCGAGACTTACACTATACTTACACTATAATACATTCAATCTAAAATAAAAAAAAAATCATTTATGTCATAAAAAGCATGACTTGCTAAAAATGTTTTAAGTTTGTTCTTAAAGTTCAAAATGTTTTTTGACTCTAGAGTTTTGTCTGTATCCAATATGTCAACGAACTTGTTATAGCATTTAACTCCTTTGTGTTTGGGAGCATGTTGTGCAATTTCTAAGCGTGAAAAAGGTTGGTGAATGTTTAATTTGTTTCGTGTATTATAAGAGTGTAAATCAACGTTTTTTTCGAATGTTTGATTATTTTCTTTGACATACATTATAAGTTGCAGAATATATAAACTTGGTAGTGTTAGAATATTTTCTTTTTTAAAAACCTCTTTACATGATGATGTTGGGGTCATTTTGTGCATGGCTCGTAATATTCGTTTCTGGACTGTAAAAACTCTATTGATATGTGTTGATGAACCCCAAAATATTAAGCAATATTGAATAGTTGACTGCACCAATCCATAATATACAAGCTTTAATACATGAGGTGATACTGTGTCTCTTATATTTCGGATTACATAACACAGAGAACTTAGTTTTGTGGTTACTGTGTTCACGTGCGTTTTCCAAGTGAGCTTTGGATCTAATGTTACCCCCAGGAATTTCATTTTATCAGCGACTTCAATAGATTTGTTGTCAATATGTAAATGAGGATTGGAATCAAATGTCATATTTTTTGGTAGAAATCGCATATATCTCGTCTTTTCTGCATTCAATGTTAGGCCATTTTCTTGACAGTATTTACTAAATTCAGTGGATGCTTGCAGTTCTCAATGAGTTGTTCATACTGAGGATGTGTTAGTATAAAATTTGTGTCATCTGCATATTCTATGATTCTATCAGGAGTACCACATGTTCTGTTAATATCACTGATAAAAATGATAAAAAACAGAGGCACGAGTACCGAACACTGGGGCACTCCTCTAGATGTTTTCATTGACTTGGACCGTTCATTATTAAGAATAATCGTTTGAGATCGATTTGAAAGATATGATTTTGCCCAATTATGTGGTTTACCTTGTATCCCCACACCTTCCATTTTCATGAGTAGTAGTTTGTGATCTCCTAAGTCAAATGCACAACTTAGATCATAAAACTCCATATCTGCACTGTGAAGTTCGATGGAAGTAACACTCCACAGTCTTCATGCTCGGTCGTGGAAGATGGTTACCGCACACCAAAATCTGGATACTGCTGGATCTGAAGCTCGTTTCCAACATGTTTCTCACAATTCTCCAGTCCAGTCTGTCGAGCCCAGAGGCTAATTTCGGGATTGCCAAGTCCACGAGATTCTGGTCGAGCATCGCCTCCTTCAGTCTAGTAAGACTCCTCCAGATATCTTCATAGGACGGTTTTTTTCGAGAATGCTTTTTGGTCACCAAGTAGAAGATGTTTCTCTGACCCTTCTTCAACTGTAGCACTCCTCCCGACTTCTGGATTCTGTTCTCGTAATGTTTGGAGCTGACCGAATTTCTCGTTGAATACCAAAGCGATACCCTTGGACATTTGAAGATCCTCTGCCACGCAGTGAGCTAATGCGTAATCAACTGGAACCTTGAAAAGGTCTCGTGATTCTTCTCGAGTTACCCCATGTACGACCTTCTGTCCGTACGAGTATAAGGACATGAATTGCTGGAACGTCATTTCATCCTCTGGTGGTCTGAGGGCGCGAACTTGGTCGTGATTTCCAGCATAAGGAGCCAGTCTATTAAAATAGACGACCCTAGGCTTTCCTCGAGGTGGCTTATGGATTCGGTAGACGAGGTCATTAATCTTTTTCCTGATTTTGTACGGACCTACCCACGAGTTCCGCAACTTCGGTGATAAACCACGGCGTCGCTTAGGGTTGTACAGCCAAACTAGGTCCCCGATTTCGAATTCTCCAGCATTCGCCTTGATGTCATAGGCCTTCATCCTATCGCTGGCACTCTGGATGTTCAGACGGACTCGTTCATGGATGTCGTCCATTCTCTGCCGAAGCTTGCTGACATAATCTTCCCCCGCAGTGTCTTGTTCTGGCGGCGTCCCAAATTTCAGGTCGCAAGGAAGCCGCAGCTCTCGGCCCATTATAAGACTGGCAGGGGTTTGGCCGGTTGACTCGTGCACTGCCGAACGATAAGCCAGCAGGAACAGGTGGAGGTATTGGTCCCAGTCTCTTTGATGGTCAGAGACTACCTTGGACAAGTGGCGGTTTATGGTCTTATTCATTCGTTCCACCATTCCATCGGACTGTGGATGTAGGGCTGTGGTTCTGGTCTTTCGAATGTCCAACAGTTTACATATTTCTTGGAACAGGTTGGACTCAAAATTTCTGCCCTGGTCCGAATGCAGCTCCAATGGGACACCGAATCGACATGTCAATTCCTTTACCAGGACGTCAGCGACGGTAAAGGCTTCTTGGTTGGGCAGGGCATAGGCTTCTGCCCACTTGCTGAAGTAGTCCATGATGTATTTGTTCCCATGGTCTGACTCTGGGAACGGGGCGGCGATGTCGATGGCGATTCTTTCAAAAGGACTACCCACGTTATACTGGCGCATTGGAGCTTTCGGTCGTATCCTAGGTCCGTTACTGGCAGCGCATATAGCACAGTTTCTGCACCAGTCCTTGACGTCAGCTTGACAATTAACCTAGTAAAACCGTTGTCTTACTTTCTGGAGGGTCTTCGTTACTCCCAGATGTCCTCCAGTGACTCCGTTATGGATTTCTTTGAGCACCTCATGTCATCTGCTCCTGGGTACCACTGTCTGGCGCCTTTCTTCTGCACCATCTTCAGACTCCAACACCCGCTTCAGAACTCCGTTTTCCAAGGTAGGGTAGTTCCATTGTGCCCAGTAGGACTTAACCGCTGGCGAATAACCTGCTATCTCCTGCTACGATGGTCTTCGGTTACTTTTCTTCCATCCGATGACTAAACCAAGATCTGGGTCTTTCTCTTGGTCTTCCTTGATCTTATTATTCTCCCTGTTGTCCACAGCTCTAGTTCTACTAATAGCTGCTTCCTTCTCTTCTGCTCGTCGGCAATGTGAGCAATCATCGGGGCATGGTCTCCGTGACAGGGCATCTGCGTTTTTTACGGGGGCTTGCTGGGTACAGGCTGACGATTGCGCCTTCTCATGGAACATCTCTAGTTTTCTTGATTTGGTGTTGGTTCTTTGAATGCTTGGACATTTGCTACGTACATGTCCAGTTTTCCCACGGTTCCAGCATCTTATTTGTTTTCTTTCAGACAAAACTCCTTTTATCGCCTTTCTTATAGTGACCTCAATATCAGCAGAACTCTGTCCATCTTCCTCCATAGTTTCAACTTTGCTTTGGTCCTTGCAGGATTGTTTTGCAGCCTCAAACTCCAGAGCGCTTGCCAGTGCATCCACGAGATGTTTGTGATGAGCTAGCGTCAAGGCCTGTCTCGTTTCTTGGTCGCGAAGTCCATCAAAGAATGCCTGAACTGCTAACCGCTCCATTACATTTTCGGGTGTAGCAGGATATGCCAGACGGACCAATCGAGCTATGTCGGCTTCAAACTCCTGNATCTTTCACAGTAAACTGTATTATAAGTTTTGATATGAATTTTCATCAAGTATCGTCCAGTTTCATTCAATAAAAAAAATAACTGTCCTACCACTGAGTATTTTGTATGTCCCTGAAGTAAATTTTTGTCAAGGAATTACTTTTCACAAGCACCCCTATAAGACATTAAGGGAATTTTTTTAATGATTCATTATAAAATATCTCACTTGTTTCCTCTTGTATTATATCCAATGAAACTCTAATTATTACAGGTTGATCAATGCATCAAGTGTGTAATTCGACAAGGACAAACTATGCTTATTCCAACGGGTTGGATTCATGCTGTGTACACCCCGGTTGATTCTCTCGTCTTTGGAGGCAACTTTCTGCACAGCCTAAATATTGGTATGCAGTTGACGTAAGTGTGAATTTTTTTTGCTCAGGTACATTTTTTAGGAACTGAATCATTTAAAACGTTTCATTGACATGATAATTTTTGGCTAGGCATTTTAAAGAGTATAAACATTGGGTCATACAGATAGAAAAATTAGCTCATGAATTGTTCGAATTAATTATACTAGGGAATTCTTATTCAATCAGGGAATTTATCTTAAAACGAGAATTACTTTTTAACACTTTTGCTGAGTCTCCAAAAAATTGCCTATGCATTGTGGAGATATGTCTTATAATAGTTAATACAGGGGTGCGCAAAAGTCCGGAATACAATTAATATCTTTTTAACCAGTATTTTAGGGAAAAAACGCTGAAACACGTCAGTTGATTTCACGTTGTACGCATTTTTTGGCAATAAAATGAAATAACTGATATTAAATATTGAATTTTGGAATATGCTAATGAAAAATAGATCAATTCAAGGTTTTTTACAGATTATTTTACTGTATTTCATCCTAGTCATGCCATGTTGATTACTTTCTACGTTTCGAAATTACAGACATTCACCTCTTAAGACAAAGTAAGTAGTTATTTTCGTTTGTTTTAGGATTTATGAAATAGAGAAAAAAACTAAGACAGAACCAAAGTTTCTCTACCCTAATTTTGAGATGATAAACTGGTTTGCGGCAGCATACTTGCTGGATCAACTAATCGAAATCAATTTGCATGAAAGCAGGTGTCCAGAGACATTTCTGATAGGTATGAAAGCCCTTCTTCAAGCCTTGAAACATTGGAATACTGAAAAAGATGTAAGTATTAGCTCAGAATGTTTGTAAAATTACTTATATGCTTCTAATTTAAGTATAACTTAAATGTAAGGGATCAAATGCCCTTAGGAATCAATATTCCTAAGTTGTTGAAAGATATTGGGAAAGAAATTCGCCATGCAGAAAGATACATAAATCAGCTGAATCCTCCAAAACCGGAACGTGAATCGAAACGCAAGAGAAGGAAGCCAGTGAATAAAGATTTTGTTGATTATTCACTATTAACCAAAGCTGCTGGCCAAGATGTGAGTAAAACTTTTTTTTTTGTACCACTTTTTAAATGGTCCATCATTAGATGCAAGACTAAATTTAATTTCTTTTTATCATATTTTTTTCCTGCTTCTAGCCGATTTTTTTATATTTTCCAATTCTAATCACAAATTAGAGGTATTAAAAACAGGTAGTTTTGCATAGGATCAATAACAGGTAGTAGTTAGGCCACTAGCATATACAAACACTAACATAATGATCTCCTGAGATGCTAACTTGGTTAACAAAACGCGAGTCTAGAGACCATAATGTTTATTCTGGTGTTTGGAAAGTATTTTCAATAGATTGGGAGTCCAAAGCTGTTGAAATAAATTGAGTTATACATACTAAATTACACTTCCCAGGCTACTGTGAGTAAGATCTTACACAAATTTGAAGAACATGGTACAGTGAAGTACTTGCCCAGAAGTGACCGGCCACATGTTTTAGACGAAGATCAAAAATTGGACATTGCCTTATCTCTGCAGGAAGATTCACATTTGTCAACGGTTTCATTAGCCCAAAAAAATCCTGCGTCTAGACGTACGATTGAAAACAGAAAAATACCACCCATATAAGGTATGTCTTGTCCAAAAGCTCTTAGAAGATGACTATGACAGGCGTTTGCAATTTTGTGAGGAAATAATGAGGCGATGTGACGAGAATAATGGGTTTCCACTCAACATACTCTTTACGGACGAAGCTACTTTTTATTTACATGGAGTAGTTAACAGGCACAACTACCGATTCTGGAGTCAGGAACACCCACACTGGATATGCGAAGCTCGTACACAGCGTCCTCAGAAAGTAAATGTATGGGCAGGCATTATCAACAACAGAATATTAGGGCCATACTTTTTTGAGGGGAACCTTATAGCTGCACGCTACTTAGACTTTTCACACTTTGAATCAGTCCCTGCTTTAGCTGTTATGTTTCCCAATGAAGCAGATTCAGATATCCCCACTGAAACACTTTGGTTCCAACAGGACGGCGCTCCCCCGCATTTTGGTATTAATGTCAGAGAATATCTCGATGACATATTTGCAGGACACTGGATTGGACGACGTGGTACAATTGAATGGCCGCCAAGATCCCCAGACTTAACGCCATTA